TAATTTTGTGGAATACAGGTTTTCAAAGTATGACCTGAAGATTCTCTGGATTTCCTCAGTGTCCACTGTTATGTCCCCCTTTTCATTTCTGATTTTGTTAATTTGCATATTCTCTCTTTGCCTTTTGGTTAGTTTGGATAAAGTTTTGTCTATCTTGTTGATTTTCTCAAAGAACCAACTCTTTGTTACATTGATTCTTTGTATTGTTTTCCTACTTTCTACTTTATTGATTTCAGCCCTCATTTTGATTATTTCCTGGCGTCTACTCTGGGGTGAGTTTGCTTCTGTTTGTTCTAGAGCTTTCGGTTGTGCTGTTAATTCTCTAGTGTGACTATTCTCCAGTTTTCTTCATGTGGACACTTAGTGCTATGAACTTTCCTCTTAGCACTGCTTTCAAAGTGTCTCAGAAGTTTGGGTATGTTGTGTCTTCATTCTCACTGAATTCTAGGAAGTCTTTAATTCCTTTCTTTCTTCATTGACTCAGGAATGGTGCAACTGTGCATTGTTCAAATTCTATGAGCTTGTAGGGTTTCTGCAATTTGTGTTGTTGTTGAATTCCAACTTTAAAGTATGGTGGTTTGATAAGATATAGGGTGTTATTCTAGTTTTTTTTTTGTAGGTATTGAGGTTTGCTCTATTGCCAAGTATGTGATCTATTTTAGAGACGGTTCCATGTGCTAAGAAGAAGGTATATTCTTTTGTGTTTGGATGGAATGTTCTGTAAATGTCTGTTAAACCCAGTTGGGTCATAACTTCTGTTAGTTCTTTTTGTTTCTTTGTTAAGTTTCTGTCTGGTGGTCCTGTCTAGTATTGAGAGTGGGGTGTTGAAATCTTCCATTATAAGTGTGTGAGGTTTTATTTGGAATATGAGTTTTGGTAATGTTTATTTTACAAATGAGGATGCCTTTGTATTTGGGGCATAGATGTTCAGAATTGAAACTTCATCTTGATGGGTTTCTCCTGTGATGAATAAGAAATGACCTTCTTCATCTCTTTTGATAGATTTTAGTTTAAAGTTTAATTTGTTAGATATTATGATTGCTACACCTGCTTGTTTCTTGGGTCCATTTGATTGGAAAATCTTTTCCCAACCCTTAACTCTGAGGTAACATCTATCTTTGAGATTGAGGAGGGTTTCTTGTATGCAGCAGAAGGATGGATTCTGTCTCTGTATCCATTCTGTTAGCCTGTTTCTTGAGTTAAGATCATTAATATTAAGAGATATTAATGACCGTTGATTGTTAATTCTTGTTTGTTTTGGATTTGTTGTTGGTATCATGAGTAGATGTACCCAGGTTTTTCTTTTGGCTATTGGCAAAGTGGGATTATCTATTGTCTATGTTTTTGTAGGTGTAGTTAACTTCTTTGGGTTGGAGCTTTCCTTCCAGAACTTTCTGTAGGGCTGGATTAGTTGATATGTATTGTCTAAATCTGGTTTTGTCATGGAATATTTTGGTTTTTCCATCTATAGTGATTGAAAGCTTTGCTGGATATAGTAGTCTGGCCTAGCATCCGTAGTCTCTTAGTGCTGGTAGAATATTTATCCAGGACCTTCTGGCCTTCCGAGTTTCCATGGAGAAATCGGTTGTAATTCTGATAGGTTTGCCTTTATATGTTAGTTGGCCTTTTTCTTTGCTGCTCTTAACTTTCTTTATTCTGCATGTTTGGTGTTTTGATTATTGTGTGGCAAGGGGACCGTTTCTTTTTGTGGTCCACTCTATTTGGTGTTCTGTAAGCTTCTTGTACTTTCATGGGCATGCCATTCTTTAGGTTGGGAAAGTTTCTTCTTTGATTTTGTTAAATATATTTTCTTCACCTTCTTCTATAACTATTATTCTTAGGTTTGGCCTTTTCATGGTATCCCATATTTCCTGAATATTTTATGTTAGAGATTTGTTGGACTTAAGATTTTCTTTGGTCGATGAATCTATTTCTCCTAGTGTTTCCTCAATGCCTGAGATTCTCCCTTCCATCTCTTGTATTCTGCTGGTTATGCTTGCATCTGCAGTTCTTGATCATTTACCCAGCTTTTCTATTTCCAGCATTCCCTCAGACTGTGTTTTTTTTTTATTGTCTCTGCTTCAGCTTTCAAACCTTACACTGTTTGAATTGTTTCTTGCAATTTCTGGTTTGTCTTTTCCTCCATTTCTTTAAAGGATTTTCTCATGTCCTCTTTAGGGTCTCTATCATCTTCATGCAGTTGTTTTTAGGGTCATTATTTTCCGCTTCATCTGTGTTGGGATATTGAGGTCTTGCTAGTGTGGAGTCCCTAGACTCTGGTGGTGTCATATTGATCTTTCTATTGTTGACTGTTGTCTACCCATCTCTTCTTCCAGTGCATACTGGTGTGGTCTCTCCCTCTCCTGTTGGGTACAGGGCCTAGTTTCTCTGCCGGTTGCTGCAAGTAGGTCCAATACTCCGATGTCTTTCCTCTTCCAGTGGGCGGTGGCTGGACTAGGGCACAGGCAGACTCTGGATGGGCTGTATCACTGGGACAGGTTACCCTGTGCACAGTCCCCAGTCCTCAGGGGGCTCTGAGTAGGGCCCCAGAAGGGACAGGAAACAGGCCCAAGCTTACCTCCTCCTGTGGTTGGAGGTGAGACTAGGACCCTGGCAGACTCCGGATGGGCTGGTCACTGGGACAGGCTCCAAGCAGGGCACCAGAAGGCGGGCTCCTCACTCACTTGTCTCTTACAACTCGTCCTATGAGTTTGCTTATGTTGCTTATTCATTTTCATTCCATTCTAGAAAGTCTTTAAGTATTTCTTCCCCCTCCTCCTTCTCCCTCTTCTTTTTTCAAGACAGGATCTCACCATGCGTTTCTGGCTGCCCTGGTGTGTGTGCGTATACATCTGTGTGTTTCCCCTCTTCGATTTGCTGGTCTGGGGCTATTTATTTCTTGTGTTTTCTCGGATATGATTAACCTCTTTAGGTTGGAGTTTTCCTTTAGCACATTCTGTAGGTTTGGATATGTAGACAGACATTGCTTATATCATGGGATGCCTTATTTTCTCCATCTATGGTGACTAAAAGTTTTGCTGGGTATAGTAGTCTGGGCTGGCATCTGTGGTCTCTTAGATTTTATAGACTATCTGACCTGGCCCTTCTGGCTTTTAAAGTCTCCACTGACAAGACAGGTGTAATTCTAATAGTTCTGCCTTTGTGTGTTACTTGGTTTTATTTCCTTGCAGCTTTTAGTTTTCTTTTGTTGTTCTGTATGCTTAGTGTTTTAGTTATCATGCGCTGAAGGAACTTTCTTTTCTGTTCCATTCAATTTGGTGTTCTGTATGCTTCTTGTACCTGGATAGGCATTTCCTTCTTTAGGTTAGGGAAATTTTCTTCTATGATTTTGTTGAAAATATTTTCTGAGCCTTTGACCTGGATTTCTTCACCCTCTATTCCTGTTATTCCATTTACCTCATCTTTTCAGAGTGTCTCAGATTTCCTGGTTGTCTTGTGCCAGAATTTTTTTTTTTTTTAGATTTAACATTTTCTTTGGAGTGAGGTATCCATTTCTTGTATTGTGTCTTCAGTGCCTGGGGTTTTTCATCTCTTGTGTTCTGTTCCTGAGGCTTGCCTCTGATGTTTCTGTTCCTAGTTCCTAAATTTTTCATATTTCCCTCGGTGTGGTTTTTCTTTGTTGAACTGGTTTTCACTTTCAGGTCTTGAACTGTTTCATTCCTTTCTTTCCATTGTTGGTTTGTGTTTTCATAGAATTCTTTAAGGGATTCACTCATCTCCCTTTTAAAGACCTCTATTGTATCCACAAAGGCTGTTTTAAGGTCTCTGTCTTGTGCTTCTGCTATGCTGGGATACTCAGAGTCTGCTGTGACAGGGAGCTGGGCTCTAGTGGAGACATATAGTTGTGGATGTTGTTGATTGTGTTTTTATGCTGGCGTCTAGGCATCTGGGTTTGGAAGGTCGCAATTCTAGGTGCTGATATCCGGTCTTGTCTTTGTTGGATGGGTGTTATGTTCTTTGATTTTTGTTGTCTTCTCTGGTTCTTGGGGGAGTGTGGTGACTGTGTGTTGCCTGGTAAGACATTCTTATGGGATCCTGATGGGCGTGGCCACTGGGGTTCCAGGCAAAATGGGTTTCTAGGTATAGGGAGCTGACATTCTGGAATGGGTGTGGACTAAACAGGGGTGCTAAGTGCATCCACAGGAGGGAGGATAGCAGGGTGTTCTAAGAGGATCTGACAGAGGGTGAGGAGAGGCCACAGCATGTGGTCTGCTACAGAGTTGGAGGTGAGACTGGGGATTGGATCTGGAGAGAGGAAGGAGAAGTGAAGATCTGTATTTAGCTTCTCTGCTACCCTGGCTGGAGTGACCTGTGGGTTCCCGGGCCTGTACAATAGTCTTGTGAAAATGAAAATGGCCATGTATCAATTCAGTGAGAAGAACCACTCAAAATGCATTTGTCTCTGTGACACACAACCTGACAGAGCTTTTCTATGCCCTCATGTCTGCCTCTGTACTAGATCTTCAGGAGCCCTACATCACAAAGTTTCTGGGAAGTTCTACCATTTGCTTGCAAGAGACTAAAGGGTGAAAAGGAAAATAGATTTTTTCCCCCTTTCAAGATACCTAAAGGGCTTCAGAGACTCCTAAGGGTGTTTGGGAGAACTCAGGCTCCGTGATAGATAGGTCCCTAAGCATTGGTGACTAGATGGTTGGATTGTCTGGGGACAGCCAGATAGTGTTGTGGGAAGCCCAGGAGAAAGGCTGCCATGATTTGGTGGTGTCTTCATGGAAGTCTTCCTGGAGAAGGAGAGCTCTTGAAGAGAGTGATGGAGAGAAGCGAGTAGTGGGAGCAGATGGGCGGATTCAGGGGACCAGTTTCTGCTCACCTGGACAATTCCTTGGTGTTTGGGATCTCCAGGTTCTGTGGGGGATAGCAGAGTGCGGGCACCCTCAGTAGGTGGAAGGAGCATCATTCGGAACTTTTGGGACCTTGGCTGGCCCAGGCAGCCGCTAACACAAAGGCTTCTTTCTGTACAGGCGGAGTCAGGATCGAGTGTCTGTCCACCCCCCACCGCCTCCACCCCAGCTTTGACTTTGGCCACCAACTGCAGACACCTCAGCCCCGGTATCTGGCTGAGGGCACTGACTGGTGAGTGAGTAAGATGCTAGGGAGGGTGGGAGAGGGAGGGAGGGAGGGAGGGAGGGAGGGAGGGAGGGAGGGAGGCCTCATCAGCGCCATGGAGTCTCTGATTTGCTTTCATTGATGGAGGTTAGACCCTAGTCTACCATGCCTACTGGTCGCCTACAGGGCCTGGCTACAGGAAGTAGCACAGTGTCACTGCACACTATCCTGGGCCAAGTCTGCGGCTTGTGTTGATGGTCCTGACATAAAGAAAGGAGGCAGGATGTGAAACCTTTCCTAAGCTCAGTAGAGCTAGCAGCCAGTAGACTCTAGAGGACAGCCTGGGAGGAGAATGCAGAAGTGTCAGGGAAGGCTTCCTGGAGAGGGCGGCCTGCAAGAATCCACGGATAAATGACAAAGCTTGGCCCTGCAGGGAGTGTGACTTGGGTAGAGGTAGAGGTAAGGGCTGTGGATAGGAGCTAAAGAGGAAGACGGAGGATGTTATGTCTTAAAGACAGGTAGCCACCCACCCACCCCCGGTCTTGCAGTCTCCCATGCTTCTGGGACTTTGTAGCCCATTCACCTCTCCAGCTGTCACCCAGGAAAGAAAGATCAGGTCTTAACTAGAGTCAGACTAGACCCCTCCAAATAATTTAAGACAATGTGTAATTCACTGGGTATTTCTAGGTAAAGGACACCAGTGGATGCGGTGGGGTTCTGAGTAGCTGTTGCTAAAATTCCTTTCCTGGGGAAACGGGACAAGTGTCCACCTTCAAGGTCCAAATGACAAATCAGAAGTTTGATTTCACCAAAGTATCCCCTTGAGAACCAATGAGTGCATCCGGCTTCCTTACAGTGTGCGGATGGGGAGCTGCACACAGGAGCATGGGTAGCCCCAAGCAGCCTTGCCTGGAAGTTCAGTGACCCCCTCCCTCCTTCTCTGGGGGAATGCCAACAGTCCACAGGCCCTATCCTGACTGATACCCAAGCAGTCATAGCAGATCTCAGGAAGATGGCGGCAGTTTAGTTCAGAGGACAGTGGTCTACTGTGTCAGCTTATTCTACAGAGAGGTGTGCATGCATATATATGCATGCCCATCATATGTGTATGTATGTGTACTCAGGTGCACATGAAGACTCACAGAGAGAAACAAGTAGGCTGTAATGGTGGCATTGGGGAAACGAAGGTCAAGTGTGTCCTGGAATTCTTTGTTTCCCTTGCAACGGATTCTGGGCACCAGAAGGAGTGTTGTTAGTGTGCTCTGATGTCCTCCATCCTCAGCATGTTTCAGGTACTCCCAGTTGAACAGAACAATCTCCTAAAAGTTGGATCCCACTACTGCCAACTTCCTCCCAGCCTTTCCCCAATCAGCAGATTCAAATTAGGAAGATTTAATTGCAGTCTGGATTAAATTCTGTCCCTCAGCAGCCAAGTCAATGCAGTTTGATTCAATTCAGCACACACGAGCACCCAGAGCCCTTGTACACAGCGGAGTGATTTGAACGTGAGCACAGGCTCTGACACGGTATGTGGGACCCTACAGTGGGGTCACCCTTGGGAGCGTCAGGAGCAGTGGGATGAGTCATCCCTGCCTTTAGCTTGCTCCTACATCCAGATTTCTTCTTCTTTCTCTTTTCAACCTCTGCATTCCCTGCTGCCCCGAGAAAAAAAGATTAAGGATCCTGGAGACTGGTCTGCATTCCACCGTCTTGTGCGGACCCACCCCTGGGCTCACCCTGGGGTAGGAGCTGGTCCCCTGGCACATTTCAGAGAGGATGCTTTGTTCAGCATCATCTGAGCACACATTTGGTGTATTTCATGGCCTTCAATATCTTTCTGTAGTTATGGTTACTGATGTGCACATCATCCAAACCTGGCTGCTGGTGGAAGCCTCTTCTGAAGATTCCTTCTGCCATGACCCCGGTGCACCTCCATGGCATTCCTGCCTTTGGTTACATCAGAATGTTCTGGTTTCTCTTGTGCCCCCACCCCCACCCCCCCAGAACCAGACTTAGCTCCATTTCTCGGCAGCCACTGATTCTTCTTTGTTGCTTTGTGTGGATCTAAGTTTTAACTGGTATCGTTTTCTTCCCGACTGACTGTTTCTTGTGGGGCTGGCCTGAAACACTACTCCTCCCTGCCCGTGCTCATTGGAAAAAGCCTTTACGCCACCTTCATTGTGAATTTTTTTTTGGACTGGGTGCAGACTTCATTCTTTCTTATTGATGCCAACCCTTTCTCTCTTGGCTGCTTTTGTAACAACTTGACAATTTGTGCCCACCTTCTCGTTCTGGGGGGCCTTTTCCTTTAATCTCATGTTGGTTTTAAACTTTTATCTTCATTTTTTTTTAAAATTATGATTGTTATGTACTTTGAGACAGGGTTTCTCCGTGTAGCCCTGGCTGTCCTGGAACTCACTCTGCAAACCAGGCGTTTTTGTGTTACACTGCTGAAATTTGTTAATGACTTGAGCCTGTAGGTTTAGAGTTTCCATCAATTTGGAAATGTTTTAGTGAAACACATCTTTAAATTAAGTGAGTTTTTCTAAACTTTTAGGAAGTGGCTGGCTGGGCTAGGATTCCTTTCTAGCCCGCAGGATGAACAGTACAGGGGTCCATCGCCTGCAGTTTTACTGAATGGTGAAAATACGGCTACTGCCCATCCTCAGTTGGTCCTGGCTTCCTTTGCTCGGTATCCCTGACCTACTCCATTTGGACTCTCTCTTCCTTGGAAGGGACATGGTTCTTGAAAAATGCTTCTTATGATCTGGGCCGCTCCAGGTGCCTCAGACCGAAAGGTCTTAGATGCGGCTTCAAGAGGGACATGGAGATGCTAAGCAGCTTGTAGGAAGATGTATTGATGCCATTTTCTCCCACTCTGAGCAGCCGAGTCTGACTTTGCCCCAAGGTGGTATGTGAGAGCTCTCTTCTGAAAGCGGCTGGCACCTCTCCCACTTTGTAGCTCACGATGCGCTGTCCCCACAGGGATCTCAGTGTGGACGCTGGCTTGAGCCCTGCCCAGTTCCAGGTGCGGCCCACCCCTCAGCACTATCAGCACTACCTAGCGACTCCTCGAATGCACCATTTCCCCAGGAACTCTTCCTCCACACAGATGGTGAGTGACAAGACCCTGGGGGGATGTGAACTTCCTCCCTGCATGCTAGTGGTAAGCTGAGGCCAGGGCTCTGCGGTGCCCAGGGTCCTGAGTCCTGGCTCCTAGGCGGACCAGCGGCTGCCCTCCACTCTCAGCCCGAGAGCGACTGGTCCAAAAGCCAGCACTGCCTAGGGCTGTCGGGGAGGGGGGGGGGAAGAGGTAGGAAATGCCCAGTACTGAAAGATGCTGCCCTGGGGACTGGGGAGGTGGCTCAGCCAGTAAAATACTCTCTGTAGAAACATGAGGACCTGAGTTTGATTCCCAGAGCACACACAAAGCCAGGCACGGTGGTTGTGTGCTAATAATACACAGCTGGGGCAGTGTGGGCAGGTAGATCCCTGGGGCTCACTGGCTTGCCAGCCTAGCCTTATCCGTGCACCTCTGCTGAACTGAGAGCCTCAGTCTCACAAAACAAAGAGGGCCGCTCCTGAGGAACAACACCTGAGGCTGACCTTTGACCTACACACACACACACACACACACACACACACACACACACACACACACTCACTCACTCACTCTTGTCTTCCTGAGCTTTACTTTTTTGGTGAGATGGAATATAGACACCACTCTGTGTCTCTCTCACAGGGTAGCGTCGAGGGTCACAAGAGGTCCTAGAGGGACCTCCCTGAAGCCTCTTGGGGCTACAGAACCCAGAATGTGCTAGAAAGATCAGGTTGGGTTTGGGGTTGCAAGTGACACATAATACCAAGAGAAACCCTTGTTGCTGTCCCTAAATAGAATTCTCCCTTCTCAGAACTTGTCTCTGTCATTTAGCCACCCAGTGGCTTGGGGAGGAGCACTTTCTACATACCAGACACAATTGTGAGCACCTCATATAACTAATCTTATGTCTTCCTGCCAGCACCCCACACAACCAGGCATTGTGTCCATTTTGCATATTGGCAAACTGAGGCCCACAGAGATTAAATAACTGGCCCCAGTAGATGCAGTGGGAAACTTGATGGTAGCCAGTCTGGTTCCTAGCCAGGGTTGTAGAAGGCACAGCTCAGCAAGTCTGGGGCTACAGCCTTATTTTAAAAGGATAATAGTTTGTTCCTCATGGATTTGTAACAGTTCATTTTTACTTAGAGACTCGGCGTTACAATACTATGCAACTTGGTTACTGTTTTCTTTCTTTTTGGCCTGGCACCGATAGCCATCCTGTTGCTCTTGGAGATAGCAGAGGAGGCTCCTGCCACCCAGCTGCCTGGGCCTGAGTCTTGACTCTTGTCACTTGCTTGAGTGACATGAGCTGATTATGTAACCTCCTTGTGCCTTACTTGTCCCCCTCGGTAAAATGGGAATTTATAATTGTACCTGCAGTTTCCATCATGTGAGGCAGCGAAACTGTTAATCACCAGCGCTCCTCAGAACAGTGCTACCGTGTAGCAGGCGCTCAGCCAGGGTCAGCATGGCTGTGGTGACGGCTATCAGGGCCCATGTACAAGCTTGGCTCGTCATGAACAGAGTAGAAGACAAGAAGGGGTTAGGGTCACCGTGTGCTGGCCGGTGGATGAGGGAGGAGGAGTTGCCCGTTGGGCCAGGAGAAGTCTGAGTTGTCACTCTGTCGGATCATTTTCTCCCTGTCAGGTTGTCCATGAAATTCGGAACTACCCTTACCCGCAGCTTCACTTCCTCGCTCTCCAGGGACTGAATCCTAGCCGACACACCTCTGCTGTTCGGGAGAGCTACGAGGTAGGCTGCCCCACGTGGCACTGACTAGTTGGTGAGCTACCCTTCCTACACCATTGGCTCCGCCTGTCCGTGCCGATGGGGAGATGCCGGAGGGGGGGTGGGTACCAGGGTTGAAAGGAAGAGAGGAAGAGAAACTGCATCTTCCCCCTCACACAAGTGCTTCTGGCTAGCTGTGTGGCTGCTTTCTGCACACATCTTCCAATTGCTCACCCTCCTCGGGTGTGTTTATGTGTGTTTGTGCAGGTCGAGCACATGCGCTTGTGTTTCCTCTTCACAGGAGCTGCTGCAGCTCGAGGACAGGTTGGGGAACGTGACTCGGGGAGCTGTACAGAACACCATTGAGAGGTTCACCTTCCCCCACAAATACAAGAAGGTGAGGCTGTGTTGACTGGATACACAGTCAGGGGTGTGATGGGGGTGGTCAGCCTGTCTGCGCGGGACAGCCCAAAGCCCAGAAGCCGTTGCTGTGGTTACCTGGAGCCTCAGGATTTTCTCATTGGCCCATAGCACATGTGGCCAGGAGGGAGGATGGGATGCTCTTGACAGAGAAGGGAGAAAGGCTGAGTGTAGTTGTTGGCTAGAGTGGTCACGTGTGTTTGTGCATGCGTAGGAGTACAGATACATCAGTGTTTGTATCAGTCTGGTGAGCAAAGGGGCTCCTGCACACAAGGCTAATAGAAAACAATCCTAAGTCCTATGGCGTAAAGACAAATGGGCAAAGAAGGTCTCTAAACAGTGTGGGGTTGGGCTCTTCTGGGGACAGTTTCAGAATAATGGGCTGTGCCCACTGACCTTAGAAGTAGATCTGTAGGGTTGATACCCAGAAACAGGAGCTTTTAAAAACATCATTTCAGTTAAAACAAATGAAAACTTGGAAGAAGCCAAACTGTTCTGTAACAAGTAAATAAACATCCATGTTGGATTACTTTTTTACAACAAAAAGAAGTAACCATTAAGCCATGGGCAGCTGTGGAGGAAGCTTAAGTATACCCTGAAAAGTGAAAGAAGGCGGCCCCACAGGCTGCAAACTGGATACTTGGAACTATATGGCAGTTTGGAAAACAATACTAGAGGAAGAATAAGAAGAAAGAAAAAAGATCTGGGATTGTCATTGTGGGGGGGGGGGGGAATAGGAACAGGGCCAGGGATTTTATTAGTGCAGCAAATTATTTTGTACAGCATCATAATGTAAACAGGTGACGTTACACATTTACCAAAAACACAAGGCAGGATCCCTGAGTTAGTTAACTTGCCCATTGTGACAAAATCCCTGAGGCAAACAACTTCCATGTGGGAAGATTGTTTTGGGTCCAGAGTTTGGGAAGTCTCTCCATGGTTTCTTGTCTCTGGTTCTGGGACTGTGGTGAGGGGTCTGGTAGTTAGGAAACAGAGAGGCTACAAATGCTGGTAAGGAAGTATACCCTTCCAGGGAACACCCACAATGACCAACTCTCTTCAACTAGGCCTCACCTCCTAGTTCCCACCACCTATAATGTTATCAAATTAGGAATGCATCAGTAGATTAATCAATTAATAAGACCAATACCCTGAGGTTCAGCTACTCTCCAAAGCCGTCAGTGTGCAGTCAAACATTTAACAGTTCAGATCCAAACCTTAATTCATAGAAACTAATGAACTTCAGTTAATAATGGCCAGGATTGGTCCATCATTTGTCACATGTTTACCACATAGTACAAGATATTCATCTAAGGAGAAGAAGCTATGAGGCGGAGCTACATCCTGCTCGTGACTTGGGTCCTGGCTAGGGGCTGTGAGGGAATGGAGAAAGGACAGATGTATGTTAGCACTCAGGGAACTGTACTGGCCTGTCCTTGGGGTCCTGACAGGATACGCCCTCAGCTGCAGCCACTGAGAGCATCACCTGTGCACATTCGCTATGTTCCCTTTAAAAAGGGCCCTGGCCACCTCTCATTTCTCTGTCTGTCTCTGTCTGTCTGTCTGACTGACTGTCTGTCTCCTGCCTCTCTTGTCTCTTCTGCTGCTCCTGCCCCCAGAGGCTGGTCTCTCCTCTACCCTCTCTCCTCCCTTTCTCATTCACTGCCCCCCAGTAAAAACACCCCCCGTCCAAGCCCTGACACATGGCATCTTTCTCTTGAGTGCTGCTTTTTAAAATCACAACAGCACATACAATGAAGCTGGGTTCAGATAGGGATCTCTAACATTACTGCCGCAAACCTGCAACCTCAGCATGTTTATTATGGAGTGCAGGGGTGGCAGGTATTAGTAGTAGTTTCTGTAGGTGAGCCATCTCAGGCTGTAAATATCCAAGCGGAGGAAACTGAAGTTGCTGGTCTTTGCACACATTGATGAAGTGTGCATAAACACTCACACTTGAACTCTCAAGAGAAGCTTTGCCATTTCTCTTGAGACTGGGCCATATGGGTAACAGATATGGCTCACCATGGTGCACCCGGAGAACTTCATCCACTCTCCGAAGACCCAAGACAGCAGTAGTTGGAATCACCTGGGACTGAATTCAGACAGCCAGTGTTGAATTTCAGTTCTTCTGGGTGTAGCTGTGTGGCTGTGGACTGTGGGCCATCTCTTCTATTTTTAACATGGCTGCTTCAGTGGGATTATACAGCTTCATACACAAGGACTTGTTCCTACCTTGTGCTCAGGAGCAGCAAGTGGCGTCGCTGTTCCCAGTTCTTGCCTATGTGCCAAGTGTCAGCATCAGAGACCATGAATCATCAAATAAGCATCTCCTCTGCACTTTGTACTTTTCTACTGTGGTTACACAATGCCATAACCAAGTCAACTTAGAAAAGAAAATGTTGAGTTGGGCTCATAGTTTCAGGATGTTGGAGACCTCAGTGGCGAAACAAAGGCGAGAAGAAACCTTTGAGAGCCCACGTCTTGAACCAAAAACAGGAGGCAGAGAGAGCATGCCAAGATTGGCAGTCTTTTGAAATCTTAAAAGTCTGCCCGCCAGTGATTATATCCAACAAGGCCACCCCTCCCGATCCACCCCAAACAATCCCACCAACTGGGAATCATATAAATATATGAGCTTAGGGGGCTGAATCAGTGAGAAAAAAGATAGGAGAATTAAAACTCAAGAGAGAACCAAGAGGAAAGTATGGGAGAGAAGGAAGAGGAAGAAAAGGAAGAATGTAAGGTAAAAAACAAAACAAAACGAAACAAAAAAACTCATAAATTTGCGGATCCAAATACAACGTTAAAACGATCTATTTTTTTCTAAACAAAGACTAAAATAATATTAAACAAGAAGTATATTTTAACTGATAACAAAATAGAATATGGATATTAAAAATAGGAATAGGAATGAAAGCAAAGTATAAAATAATAAAGGTTATCAAGCTGGGCATGGTAGCGCATGCCTTTAAACACAGAACTTGGGAGGCAGAGGAGGGGAGTCTGAGTTACAGGGTAGCCAATATTACACAGTGAGACCCTGTTTTGAAAAGCCAAAAAACAAAAACAATACAAACAAACAAACCCAAGATTATCAAAGTTAAAAAGAAACGTTGAGGAAATAAGAAGGGAGATGAATAGTGAATATTAAATAAATGCTGAAAAAAGTTGAAGTTGAAATCCAAGTTGTAGCAGGCTTTCTTTGGGGCCACCAACCAGCACCCAAGGCTTGACATGGAGATTTAATATTAGTTATGAATGCCTGGCCTTACCTTAGGCTCTTTTCTTGTTAGCTCTTACAACTTAACCTGTTTTTCTTCTACACTTTGCCTTGGGCTTCCTCCCTCCCTCCCTCCCTCCCTCCCTCCCTCCCTCCCTCCCTCCCTCCCTCCCTCCCCACCTCCCCCCCTCCCTCCCTCTCTTCCTTCTTATTTTCTATCTTACCTTCCCAGTGTCTCCATGTCTGGCCGGCAGCTGACTAGTTTTTGGCCCCTGGCATGTTCTCTTTCTCCCTAGTTCATCTTCATTCTTCTCTTCATCCAAGCTTAGCTTTCTCCTCCTAGTTATTCTCTCTGCCAGCCAGCCCTGCCTATTCCTCTGCTGCCTAGCTATTGGCTGTTGAGCTTTTTTTTTTTTTTTTAGACCAATCAGGTACCTTAGGCAGGCAAGGTAAAACAGCAACACATCTTTACATCATTAAACAAAACAGCACAAACACATGTAACGTATCTTTACAGTGTTGACAAAGGCAGCAGAAACAAATGTAACACTCCTTTACACAATGAAGTACTAGTCCCCAGTAGAAACAAATGTAACACACATTCGCCTAATTAATGTCCCACACCACAAAGTTCGGTAAATAATGGAGCAAAAGAAAGTTCTAAGAGATTAAAGACTGAGAATTAGAAATGTGATGTGAAGAGAGAGAAATAAAGACTAGAAGTAGCCAAACAAGATGCTGCTGGAGTAAAGTTACGACAGGAAAAGGAAACCATGAGAAATGGCGGATAAAAGCAACGGTACCCAGGCATAAAGCTGGGGCTCAACACTGTTGTGTTGGGCTGTTCTTTTCTAGCAGGGCCAGTCCTCCCATGAAGACTGCTGACCCTTTGGCAGGCAGATTGCCATGATGTTATTAATACTAAAAACAACGCATGGCAGACTCTTAGGATAATGGATACAGGACAATGCAGGAGCCTAGCATCATTTGCAGTTGGTACATGGGGCACATCAAGGGGGAAAGCAATAGGTTTCCTTGTGTGTCCTGGCCAGGGCAGGGCACCCCAGACTAAACCACCAGAGTAGGTAGAACGACATCTAGGCCTGGTCCCAGTGTCACTTTCTGGTCTTCACTTTGCTGGCACTTCTCTTTGCAAAATGACTTTGCAGTTTGCTTGTCTCTAGAGAAAGGGCAGAGTGACTGATTCTCTTTCTGTGGTTACTCTCAGACTTAGGATCAGACGTCTGCAACGTGGGGGCAGGGACATGGGAGGTGGACAGATTTAATTCAATGGCTAGAGTCTTCCTTCCTAAGAATATTTATTAAGCGGCAATGGAGTGCCTTGTACTTGGCCACATGTATCATTTTAAAATGTTCTTCAGAGTGGTTAACTGTTAGCAGATAATTAAAACTGTGGGTAGAAACGTGCAAATCAGGATGTATGCACAGTAGCTACATGGTGTTGAACCTCACACTAGAGCTGCCGCTTACCTTAAGGGAACTTCCTGGCTAAGGAGAGAAACTCGATGATAGAAAACAATATAGAACCATGTGGTACAAGTTACAGGGGTTAATGGTGGTGGAGAAATTCTGTGTTCATCTAGTAACGAGAGCACAGATGAATGGACATCAGTGGAAAGAGTGAATGAGGAATCTGTGTGTGAATGAAGGAAGGAAGGAATCCATCAATCAATCAATGAGGCATTTTAGACTTAGAGGCAGGGGTACATGTTGGACAGGGAGTAAGAGGGAGTGGACAATGTGAAGGAGACAGGGGAAGCTAAAATTCAGTGTGTAGTTTTGCCAAGGACAGGATGAGTAAGAGCCTCGCTCCGTTCCAAACACTGGGCCTCCAACAGTGTCTAGGACAACCATCAACAGTCTACTGGCCTTTTCATCACTCGATTTTAACCTTCTCTCTCCAGACGCAAGAGTGAGCAGTTAGGGGTTAGGATAGAGGTTGGTCCCTAGGGAACGAAGGGGTTACCAGAGGAGAGGAGGCTGTGACAGAAAGCCAATGGCCAGCAGGAGTCTGTACCAGATAACTAAAACATTTTTTCCCCTCTGATCACAGCGAAGACCCCAAGACAGCAAGGGCAAAAAAGATGAAGGTGAAGAGTCAGACACGGATGAGAAATGCACAATTTGTCTGTCTATGTTGGAGGATGGGGAAGATGTGAGGTAAGCGGCCACTCCTTTGACTTCCTCCCCCTTCTGCCATGGGGGTTAGTGACCTTTCACTGTACTGCAAGCCCAAGGAAGGAGGCACGTACTCCGTGTGGACTCTAGGGTGCTACAGCGTTTCATGGTTACACTAGCCAAGTGGTGTGTGAAATTATCTAGATGTGGTAAGCATGAGCATGGATGGAGTCATGGAGACAAACTGTGATGTTGGCTTGGACTGGTCTAAGACAAAGCCAAGGCCTTCATGGAAGAAGGCTTCGAGAGTTCCAGGCATGGTTTCCCATCTCAGCCACAGCCTCACACTAGGATCTGGGTTGCAAGAGCCCTCTTTATCCCCAAGGGTTCCCATCACCTGGTCACCTGACTTTCCTCTTTTTCCAGACGCTTGCCTTGTATGCATCTCTTCCACCAACTGTGCGTGGACCAGTGGCTCGCCATGAGCAAGAAATGCCCCATCTGCCGGGTGGACATTGAGACACAGCTGGGAGCCGACAGCTGAGGGAGGAGACTAGCCAGTGGATGCCCGTTTCCTTCACCGGTCCCCCTACCCCGCCCCCCACGGCCATAGCCCTTGCAGCCAAACTTTGCCTTCTGAGCCATTTGACGTAGAGAAGAACCCTGCAAGCACACTTTGTGGAAAGAGGAGTTGGTATCTGAGGGAGAGGAGGGGCGGGAAGGACCCACCCATACAGAATGGTGACTGCCTCATCGCCTTGCTGTGCAGGGGAGGGGAGGGGAGCTGGCTGTGCCCAGAGCGGGGGCGGGAAGGGGGGCCCAGCTGCTGAGAACTAGATGTGAGCTCGAGGGTACTAGCTGGTGATTGGCCCCTCAGTCCTGTCCTTTGAAGGATTGATTGTGTATATACCTCTTGACCACGTAGAAACCATGTAGGGGTCTCTAGCTATTCTGTGGATGGCGGCCGGAGCATGTTAGCTTAAGAAAAAATGTCGTGTGTGGTGCTGTAGTCATCTGTGGTGGACATGTCGCTATTATTGAACTTGCACCAAATATTTCTCATTGAGTTTCTTGTTTTGGTGCCTGACCGAATCAACCAACCGACAGCCCCAATCTTCCCATCTTTATGAGCGAAAAGAAAAAAAAAAAAAAAAAAAAAAAAAAAAAAAAAAAAAAGAAAAAAAAAAAAACAAAGAATCAAAGGTGAAAAAAAAAAAAAGCCAAATCCTGTTTACGGTGAAAAAGGATAATAATTTTTCACCCCGGTTGGGAGGCGGGAGGGGGGTTCCTGTTTGTTGTTTTTTGTTTTTTTTTCCCCTCGGGCTTTGTTTCTCTCATGTTTACAGTGCACGGGGGGGGGGGAGGGGGAGGGGCACCTGAGAAGGGGGTGACAGATGGGGTCTCGCTGGGCTTCGGAGGCATTTAGGCAAGCTGAAGAGAGCAGAGCCCTCGCTGGTGAAGGCGGTCCATCGCAACGTGGGCTCCCCAGTCCTAGGGCCCATTGCTTTGCCCAGTTGTCTTCCTAGGTCCCACGCTGAGCCAGGGGACACACAGCCTCCGGCTACAGCTACTCCATGCTCCTGGGAGCCAGCAACCCCCTGCTCATGCCAATTCCTAACCTTATTCTGAGCTCTCATCTTGCCACAAAGAGGCAATGTAGCCGCTGCCTCCCTATGCAAACAATTAACCAGACGCTACAGATGAAGTAGCATTGGCCGTGTACATACACTTAGCCTTGGCAAAAGTGCTCTCAGCTAGCACACAGGGCTGAGGTCAAATCCATAACCTCGGGAGTAACTTGAGTGTCCTCCAGGGTCCTGCCTGGTCAGTTCTCAGAGACCACGGCCTTTGCTACGATATGAGACTACTTGGCTGGGCTGGGAGGCCCGTGTCCCTAGTCCCTCGGTCTTCTGATTCTTCTGGGAAAGTCCGTTCCATTCTCTGGGCCTCAGTCCCAGTGGGGAGAGACGCCAGTGTGTCCTCCATGTCCCCCATGTCTCTTTCACCCGGGTCTGAGAGTTAACACTATCTAGCCCGTTGTGTGCTCTCTACCCTCTCACGGGAGCCTCCGAGGGTTTAGTGATTGGAGTGGAAAAGGAGATGGAATGTTCTAGTGACACCATATTACAACATGCTTTCTGGCCCACTCCGTGATTTTTTTTAGAAATGAGAGGACAGAATATTGGAGGTGGGGGGAAAAAATCTGCCAAATTCTAACCCAACTGTAGCTCTTAATCATGTGCAGAAAATGTCAGGTCACCTGGTGTTCTGTAACCTTCTTTTGCTCTGGTCCTCCATCCTCATCCCTCGTTTGCACTCAGAGTCTACCCCAACCTCAAGTCCTAGCCAGTCTCAGTGCCCTCGTATCAAGGGACAAGGGTGCTGATCAGATAGAGGAAGAAATTCCACGAGGATGTATCAGGGTCAAAGTTGACAGGGGATAATTGGACTCGGGGGGAGAGAGAGAGAGAGAGAGAGAGAGAGAGAGAGAGAGAGAGAGAGATCCTTCTAGCACAACGGACACCATCATGAAAGAATGGTGGTCTATCCACTCGCCAGATGAAGGCTACTCCCAGAACCCATCTTCTGGTGTCTCCTAAAATTTCTGCTGAATGTCTACTGGGTCAAGAGAAGAGGAAGATGATTGCTAAGGCGATGTCTTTGCCTGGTAGAATTACGAGAGGACGGGCGGAACTGCACACGCCCAACGGTGCTTATGGTGAACAGTCCAACGATGAAGGTCAGCCCTGTTGAGTGTGGCCTTTTCCAACTCCAGTCTCCAGTGCAAAGGCTGGATACCCACCAGGTGGGGCAAGTATGTTTGAGTCAGGATTTCAGGGAGCTGGTGACCAAAAGCCACCAGAACTTGTGAATTCTCTCCTGTTCCTCCCCGATGGCTGTGCCAAAACCAAGATTCCGTCAGAAGGTGACTGTGGCTCAGAGGTGGTTGGATAGTCTAGGCAGGTCATTGCTCTCTGGGGCCTCTCACTCTGCTCTTGTCTTTGAGGCTGTCCTGCATGGCTGGCAGGGACCTAGGAGGGAACTGGAACTAGTGTCCCTGGTTCTAGTCCTGGCTCTTCACTGGCAAACTGGGAGATGCTGAACCCTCCACTCACACCCCTTGCCCTGCTGGGCCTCAGTTACCTCAGCTGTGATGCAAGGGGGTTGGGTTGGATGCTCGCTAAATTTCTCCCAATACACACATCCTGTGACTCTTTCTAACATCAACACATCCTTCAGTTTGTAGAGCTGTGTGCTGCCCATGCTGCTGAGAGGCCTTCAGTGCCCACGCATAACCTGCTTCAGAGGCTGAGGCATGTAGCCTGAGTGAGAGGGTAGAACGATTTCTCCTTGCTCCCATTTGTGCAGGCTCTTTGAATGCCCCAGGCTAACCTAAGGACCTGGACAGGGAAGGGTTGATCCTGCCTCTCCATGCCCTTCCCACCTACCTGGGGTCCTTGTGCCCTGATGGTGGGGGCTGGAGTAGCACTTAGACCCTCCCGGTTCCCATTTCGGGACCCCTGATTGGGTGGAGGAAAGCCAATGCCTCTGCTCCATCCAGGTGCCCAGTCTGGCCAGGGAGCCAGAGAAGAGTGGAAAGGAGGAAAGGCCAGGCCTCAGCATCTCACATCTACCGTCTCCAGGAGAGAGACACACATAGTTCTCCTGCTCAACTCAAGGGACTCAGACCCTTTCCTGACTGAGACGCATGAGTGCCTTTGACAGCGGCCCCGGGTTCAAGTTGGGCCTCCTAACCGCAGCCATGGCGCAGCAGGTCCACTTAGGACACCAATCAACCCAATGCCACGAATCCAGCTGGGCACAGGCAGAGGGCAGCAAGGGCTGCACATTCCTCCTCCTGGCCAGGCCCCCAGGTCCCCCAAGTACCCTCGCCACCACCTGTGACAGGCCACAAGCTCCTTTCTGTAAAGGCCCCCAGCCTCCGTGCAAGCATTCTTAACTCTTTACGCCTACCGAACAAGCACAGTTTTTTCAATGGTGAAGAAAAACCACCAGACTTTTTTTTCCTGAAGAAATCCCCCACACCGCCCCGCCTGCGGGACAAACATTCCCCATGTGGGGCTGTAGCAACGTCTGTCAGGTCCCGTTGTGTCTCATCTCCTGCGCGCGCGTAGAGCAAATGCTAGAGCGATTTCAGCTGATAGAAAAATTAAAAAAAAAGAAAAAAAAAAGAAAAAACCCACAAAAATAAAAAACATGGCACGTTGCTAGTTTACAGGGTTTTGTGAGTTTAAATGCCTTATATTTAACAATCATAATTTATGACTAACTTGTAGATATCGTGGGTTCTTATTTAATTATTTTTATAGTTGTTTTGCATTTTTAATTATAATTTATTTATTTAGAAAGGATACTAATGTTTTTTATTGCTCCTATTACCTCATTTTGCCGTCGTTTCTGGGAGTGGAATGCTTTGCATGCATTGGTACGATGACACCTGCAAAAACAAACAAACAAACAAACAAACAAACAAACCCATTTTAAATAAAAGTCTGCGAACTTTCTTTCGTCCAAACTGTCAGGGTGTGTGATTGCAAGCTCTCCTACTGTGGTGCTGGCCTCTTTGGATACATTCCATACGAAATGCAAACCTTTGGTTCTGTATGCTGTGATCTAGTGAAAAGCTCCAATATAGTGACTGTATTTAGCACATATATAAATATAATTTGCACTCGTCAGCAGGCTGGGGTAGTCCTTTCACTTGCCACCCTTGGCCCCTCCCCCCAGCCCTCTTTCCCACCTCTAGCCTGCTTTCCGTCTTCCCTCCCCCCTTCCTACCTCCTCATCCCTCTTCCTCCATCCCCTGAGGATAGTCTCAGAGTACAGGAGGTCACTGGTTATGCCTGGGCTGGTTCCCACTCACTAAGATTCCAGAATTGGGGTCCTTCAGCCACGGTGAGCATGGTCTTCTGAAAGACAAAAAGCCTGTTTTATTAGGTGGGGGCCAGGAGGCTTTGGTGTTTAGGTCAGATTCACAGCAGGCTCTCTGTGATCCCTGGCTCCTAGAGAAGGGGCAAGATCGGTGATCTCTTGGGTCCCCCAATTCGAAAAGAACACGACCCAGTCCCAGGTGAGATCCCAGGATGAAAGAGGAAAGGACAGAGGGAAGGCAAGGAGAGAAATGGAGACCAGAGAGAGAGCCAGTTAAAAATTGTCTTAGGGATCTGGTCAGAGCAGCCGCCCTGCAGGTGGCGAGAGGCCAGTTAGGCAGATCCGTCCTTGGGTAGGAAACACGGACTTTCTCAAGGCTAGGGGTCATTCTGAGATTGAGCCGAGATCCATGTCCTATTACTCTACCAGAGTACTCTACCAGCTACTCTACCAGAACTAGCTGGTAGACAGCCAGACTATGGTGTTTGGGATTCTGCCAGTCTTGTTTGAAGCCTTCGCAGTTGGGACATCATTCTTTGACAAGAACTTGGGATACAAAATTGTATCACGCCTCCTCCCCACCGTCCCCCTTTGCCTGTGTCCCTCAGAGGCTGCAGTTAGGAGGGCCTGCTGTGCAGTTAGAGGGTTCTTGCTCCCGCCTCACGCATCTGTGTAAGCGTGATGGTGAGGGGGCTTTGAGGAAGTGGCCCCGGATTAAGCCTGTGAGCGGCTGGAGCCCTGTCATGCTGACCCTCCTCTTTCCCTCCCCTCCTAAACTCCCCCCCCCCCCTTCTTGGCTCTT